TTCTGACAACGTATGGCCCTTCGTAATTAGGGTTCCATTTTCCCCTGTGATCTGTTTGTGGCGGGACAATCCTCTTCAGCACAAGGTGGCCCGTCTGAAAGCTTCGCGGACATATCTTCTTATCGTATGCTTTCATCATCCGGCTTTGATACAACCTACCGTATTCTAGAGAAGCTAGCCTCTTCTCATCCATTAAGCTCAACTGATTCAATCTATCTTTAACTCATTCTGCCTCGTCAAGTTGGACATCTCGTAAAACCCTCAAGGAAGGAATCTCAACCTCCAACGGTAACACTGCCTCCATTCCATATACTAATGAAAAAGGGGTTGCCCCGATTGGTGTGTGTACCGTCGTACGATAACCGTGCAAAGCGAAAGGTAGCATCTCATGCCAGTCCTTATACGTCACCACCATCTTCTGAACAATCTTCTTTATGTTCTTATTGGCTGCTTCAACAGCGCCATTCATCTTGGGCCGGTAAGGAGAAAAGTTGTGATGCTCAATCTTGAAATTCTGGCACAGCTCTTTCATCATCTTGTTATTCAAATTTGAACCGTTGTCGGTGATAATCCGCTCAGGGATTCCATATCTGCAGATAATATCTCATTTGATGAATCTGGCGACCACTTGCTTGGTGACATTGGCATATGATGCTGCTTCCACCCACTTGGTGAAGTAATCGATTGCCACCAAGATGAACCGGTGTCCATTGGATGTTGTAGGCTCGATCTTTCCAATCATATCGATTCCCCACATCGAGAAAGGCCACGGTGATGACATCAGATTCAGAGGACTTGGGGGTACATGGACCTTGTCCGTATAAATTTGGCATTTATGACACCTCTTTGCAAACTTGAAACAGTTTGTTTCCATAGTTAGCTAGTAATAACCTGCTCGCAGCAATTTTCTCGTCATAGCATGCCCACCATCATGTGTACCAAATGTGCCCTCATGTATCTCTTCCATGAGCAATTTCGCCTCTTTCTTGTCTACACAGCGTAGCAACACCAAGTCGTGGTTTCTTTTGTATAGGACCCCGTCAGGATTCAAGTAGAAATTGCCGGCCAATCTCCTGAGAGTCTTCTGATCGCGACTGGATGCCCCAGCCGGATACTCCTTGTTCTGCAGGAAATTCTGGATGTCAAAGTACCAGGGTTTATCATCAGATGCTTTGTCAATGGCAAATAAGAAGGCAGGCCTGTCAAGCCGAGAGATAACAATCTTGGGAGCCTCGTTCCAGAAGTTAACTTTTTACATAGAAGACAATGTCGCCAGGGCGTCAGCCATTTGATTTTCTGCATGCGGCACATGATGCAATTCCACCTTGTCAAAGAAAGGAAACAATTTCCTTGCATAATTCATATATGGTATCAAATTGGGCTGACGCGTCTCCCATTCTCCTTTAATCTGGTTCACCACTAGAGCTGAGTCTCCGTATACATCCAGATACTTGATTCACAAATCAATAGCTTCTTCCAGACCCATGATGCAAGCCTCATATTCAGCCTCATTATTGGTAACGGGAAAAGTCAATCGGGCAGTAAAGGGAATGTGTGACCCCTGAGGAGTAGTAATAATAGTAATAATTGCCCCTATTCCACTAACGTAGGAATTTACAGCTCCATCAAATATTAACTGCCATTTGGAACCCAACTCTGGTCCTTTGTCCGGCAACGGTTCTTCACAATCTTTCATTTTCAGGCACATGATATCCTCGTCAGGAAAATCAAACCTCATCGATTGGTAGTCCTCAACAGGCTGCTCCGCAAGGTACTCTGACAAGACGCTACCTTTAATAGCCTTTTGCGAGACATACTGAATATCATATTCGGTTAACACCATCTGCCATCGGGCAATTCTTCCGGAGAGTGCTTGCTTCTCAAACACGTATTTGATTGGATCCATCTTTGAAATGAGCAGGGTTGAATGATTCAGCATGTATTGCCTCAAACGTTTGGCGGCCCAGGCTAGCGCACAACACGTTTTTTCGAGCATTGAGTATCGAGACTCACAGCCTGTGAACTTCTTACTCAAGTAGTAGATTGCATGGTCTTTACGCCCTGTCTCATCGTGTTGACCGAGAACACAACCCATACTTTCCTCAAGAACTGTCAAATACATGATCAATGGTCTCCCGGCCACTAGGGGTATCAAAACAGGAGGTTCCTGCAAGTATTCTTTTATCTTATCGAACGCCTTTTGACAATTTTCATTCCAGGCCACAACCTGGTCCTTCTTTAACAGCTTGAATAATGGCTCGCATGTTGCAGTTAGGTGAGATATGAACCGAGCGATATAGTTGAACCTCCCTAAAAATCCACGCACTTCTTTTTCTGTTTTAGGCGTCGGCATTTCTTGTATTGCTTTTATTTTCGTAGGATCAACCACTATTCCTTTTTCGCTCACGATAAACCCCAGCAGTTTACCCGATCTCACCCCGAAGGTGCACTTGTTAGGGTTCAGTCTCAGCCTGAACTTCCTAAGCCTCTTGAATAATTTCAGCAGATTAACCAAATGCTCCTCCTCCGTCTGGGATTTGGCAATCATATCATCAACATAAACCTCGATCTCTTTGTGCATCATGTCATGAAAGAGAGTCGTCATAGCACGTTGATATGTTGCCCCAGCATTGTTCAATCCGAAGGGCATCACTTTGTAACAAAATGTTCCCCAGGGAGTAATGAAAGTAGTCTTCTCCATGTCTTTTGGCGCCATTTTGATCTGATTATAGCCCGAGAAGCCATCCATGAAGGAGAATACGGAGAATTGAGCAGTGCTATCAACCAGCACATCGATGTGAGGAAGTGGAAAGTCATCTTTCGGGCTCGCTTTGTTCAAGTCACGGTAGTCTACGCACATTCGCACCTTACCGTCTTTCTTTGGTACTGGCACAATATTAGCGACCCATGAGGGATATTTTGTAACAGCTAGGAAACCAACATCCCACTGCTTTTGAACCTCCTCCTTAATCTTCACAGCCATGTCCGGTCTGGTTCTTCGGAGTTTCTGCTTAACCGGTGGGCATTCCTCTCTTAATGGTAGACGGTGCACAACCATATCCGTATCCAACCCAGGCATGTCCTCGTACGACCAAGCAAATATATCATTTTACTCCTTGAGCATGTCAATCAACCTTTGCTTGACGTCGCTTTGCAGCGCAGCCCCTATACGGATGTTCCTTTCAACCCCTTCCGACCCCAAATTGACAATCTCAATGACTTCCTCATGAGGCAGAATGATTCTTTCTTCTTGTTTCCATAACCAGGTCAACTCCTCTGGTACTTCGCCGTCTTCAACAATCTCTTCCTCAGCCTGAAATATCGGGTGCTCAAAGTCGAAGCGAGTCATAGGCGGTTCATAGATGTCATCTAAAATAGTAATCCTGCAAAGGAAATGGTTAAATGCTTCAAAACGTATACAAAGCGAATAACCTCGTTGCCATTTTATTGTAAAAATAAAAACAGGAAAAACAGGGATCACAATACTTGTATATGAAAAAACGCCTTTATTCATGATTAAACAATGTAATGTACATAACCAAATGGCCCTAAGCAAAATCACTATGCCCCGAGTAGGACACAGAATTATTCAACAGTTAAGAAAACAAATCATTACTGTTTAGTTGTCACAGGAACAGTCTCCTGAATAGACCAATTGCAAAGCCCTTGTCCTCGCACGCCTGGCTTGATCCACGCGTCCATATCACAGTCGCTATCTCCTTCCTCGGAATTGGAAACAACATTGATAGTCTCGAAGCTCACTCCACTTGGCGTAATGGTTATTGGCCCTCTGAACTTGGGCGCTCTGGAAGAAGATGCTGACGACGAAGGATGATATCCAAGTCCGAACCTGTCGTTCTTCACAGGAATCTCCAATACCTGACCCCAGCCCTTGGTTTCGCCTGCCTGTACTAGAGCTTGAGCCTCTTTGTATGATGACACGGCCACATCTGATATCTTACTTGGCACCGGAGCTTTGTCTTTAATCTTTAGCCCTTCAAATGCCTGACAGGGCGTTTCATGAATCTCTCCGTCGACTTCCATGTATCTGAATGAAGACAGATGGCTAGCCAGAATATCTTCTTCTCCACAAACAGTTGTAATACCCTAATTTTTACCCCTAAGATCCCACATTTCATTTGCATATCATTCCACAAACAAGATCATACTTTTTGATTCTCTTAGGTCCCTTGTTGTTTCTTACTTGCTTTATGTTTGCTTCTGTTTACTAACATCTAACCAAAATACCAAAAATATTTTTCAATTTGTTTGTTTCTTTTTCACTGTGTGTTTAAGGTTTTGCAAGGAGATTGATGGCAAGGACATCCATTTAAGTCTAAATCAAATGGAAGTTTGACCTCATCTTGGTCAAACTATCAAGAGATTGCTTCAAGTGCAAATTGGTTGTGGCAGTGAGCTATTTTCTCAGGAAATGAGATTGTTCAAGGTCAATTTGTCTTGTATTGAAATCCAGTGGTTTATCAAGCAGTGTTCTATGAGAAGTTTGGTCCATGACTATTATGATCAAGGTTCATCAGTCCAGGTTGTGTTCATCTATGGATTTATTTTCCCAGAGATTAATTCAGATAAATCAAAGAAATTCAGTTTTAACCGAAGATTCAGAGTTTTGTCTATACAAGTCAAGTGTGGTGGATGTTCGATAAAGATGTTGGTTTTGGGATGCAAGTACAAAGTGTTCATTCAAGTGTGCCATTTCCAAGTGATTCTAAAGCATGATTGAAGGTTGTCAAGAGTTTAACAAGACAAGATGATTGTCACAATTCAAAGTCCAATTTTCAAATGTCATTCAAGTTTTCAAGACAGGACATGCATGCTTACGGCGCTTTGATTATTGTTGGTATGAGTACTACTCTGATCTTCATTTACAACTGTTATGACCAAGTTCTAGCTTTAGTGAGACAAGAGAAGGCTTGACAACTAATGCTAATGCTTATGGGCGTGCTCAAGGAGAGGTGCATAAGGACAAAGCTTTCAAAGTGATGGAGGCCAGACCATCGTGGGAAATTTCTCCAGGCCAAAAATTTTCGTTGGGTGTATCACAAGTCGACAACGGGATAAACTTTGTTTTTTTTTCACAACATGCAACTGCTGTCACACTTTGTTTGGTCCTTCCTGAAAGGGAAAGCATTGACACACTGGATGGTGGTATGATAGAACTGGCTTTGGACCCTCATTTAAACAAAACAGGGGACATTTGGCACATATGTATTGAGGATCTCCCTAGGAGCAATGTTCTGTATGGGTATCGGATAGATGGATCTCAAGACTGGGGAAAGGGGCATCGATATGACAGAAGCATTGTGCTTGTTGATCCTTATACAAAACTAGTTGAAGGTCGGAGATATTTTGGGGATACTAGCAAGAAGTTGTCTAAGTTTCTGGGCACATATGATTTTGACAACTTGCCTTTTGACTGGGGACAGAATTATAAGCTTCCAAATATTGCTGAGAAAGATCTTGTTATATATGAGATGAATGTCAGTGCATTTACAATGGATGAATCTAGTGGGTTGGATAACAATATTCGTGGAAGATATCTTGGCGTGATTGAGAAGATCCCACATCTTCTAGAGCTTGGTATCAATGCAGTAGAGTTGCTGCCTATCTTTGAGTTTGATGAGTTGGAATTGCAGAGGCGTCCAAGTCCTAGAGATCACATGATTAATACGGGGGGTTATTCAACAATAAATTTCTTTGCTCCTATGAGTCGCTATGCTAGTGCTGGAGGAGGACCAGCTAATGCTTCCCAAGAGTTCAAGCAAATGGTTAAAGCCTTCCATTATGCTAACATAGAGGTTGTTTTAGATGTTGTCTACAATCATACTAATGAGGCTGATGACCCCAATCCTTACACTACTTCATTTCATGGCATAGATAATAAGGTTTATTACATGATGGACGACAAAGGACAATTGCTGAACTTTTCTGACTGTGGAAACACATTGAATTGTAACCATCCTGTGGTCATGGAGCTAATTCTTGACAGCCTAAGACATTGGGTCACTGAGTAGCATGTTGATGGATTTCAATTTGATCTTGCAAGTATATTGTGTCGAGGAACTGATGGTTCACCCCTCAATGCTCCTCCACTCATCAGGGGCATTGCTAAGGATGCAGTCTTGTCAAGATGTAAAATTATTGCAGAGCCTTGGGACTGTGGTGGTCTCTATCTTGTTGGAAGTTTTCCTAATTGGGATCGATGGGCTGAATGGAAAGGATTCAGAGGGTCCGGGTTCTGATTTTGAGCTTGCCGTAGTGATTTCTGCTTCTAGGCACAGCCCGCAGAATTTCTGCAATGGGAGTTGGTGTTCAGTTTTGAATATTGATTTCAAAGATGAACAACAAACCGTGGAAGTAAAAGGGAAACTGTAGGTTGGTGCCCATTACTTTGAAGAGGATAATTCTGCAGTTTATGGAGATGCTGGTTTGGATGCAGTGCATAAAGGATGGTTGGTTATGCTGTTAAATGAGGTACAAATTTTCATCAAGAAATCAATTGATAAAGGAGCCAGTCAACCAAAAAGTGATAAAGTGAAGACTTTAATCAATAATGCAAATATTGCTTCAGCGGCACAAGTTGAAAATCAGCTTTCTAGTGCTGTTGTTAATCTGGCAGCTAAACAACTGAGTTCTGTGTCTAATTCTGAGGATATATCCCTACTGGCAGACTTTCTTTCTCTGGAACCTTTAGCAAGACCATTTAAAAGTTTGAAAAAGGACAGTCAACCTAAATTTGGTGCTGCAGAATCTGCCTTGGCAATCCTTAAAGGTATTAAGGCACTCACTGAAGTTTGTGCAGAAGACTCTGAGTCTCAGGACAAGATTGTAGATTTCGACATTTTATGTTTGCTGAGGCGCTTTTTGTTTAATGATGATTATGAGAGACTGGCTGCTATGGAAGCTTATGATGCATCAACAAGAGCGGGACTTCGGAGACGGTTATACCAAACATGTCTACAATGGCTTGTTAAACAGTAACATCAGTTCAAGGGCATGTTTCTATCGCTAGTGAGGGTTTGAGTTTGGTTGTAAGCTCGAATGACGGCGAAGATTGACTCATACAAAATCTCATTCTAAATCATACTGTCAAAGCTATGATATCAACTTGGTCCGACGAAATAACACCAATTGTTTGAATAACTCTAACATATCAAAAGCTGGAATTATCGCATCTCTTCCGGCTAGTTGTTTTATCATTACTGCTGTAAATCTTGTCGGAGGGATACGTGATTCCTCGAATTTGTTTGCATAAGATTTTGAATTGACAGATCTTGTTATTACTTGTTTTGATGTCCTCTGTGTTGTGAACGACGTGATTAATCCATTCACTGATGAAATGCTTGCAAAGTTTGTTGTTGACAGTCACTTCAAGTCACAACCCAAGGGTGCTAACAATGATGATAAGTCTGTTAGTGAGTCCCAGGATGTATCTGGCATGCCAACTGATCCAGAGATACTTCCTCAAGATCTGTTGAAGAAGTACATTACATATGCCAAGTTGAATGTTTTCCCAAGGTTTAATGATGCTGATTTGAATAAACCTACTAATGTGTATGCAAAACTCTGGAGGGAATCATCGCACGGTCAAGGAGTCCCCATTGCCGTAAGGCACATCAAATCAATGATAAGGATGTCTGAAGCTCATGCGAGAATGCATCTCAGGCAGCATGTTACACCAGAGGATGTGGACATGGCAATTCGTGTTCTACTTGATTCATTCATTTCAACCCAGAAGTTTGGGGTGCAGAAAACACTGCAAAAGAGCTTTAGAAAGTATATCACTTTCAAGAAGGACTATAATGATATGCTCCTTTATATTCTCCGAGAGTTTGTACAGAGTTCTATTGATTTTGAAGCAATTGTTGTTGGGTCTGCTTCTAGTCTGACGCATGTAGAAGTCAAAGTAGATGATCTCTTCGTGAAGGCTCATCTGCAGCTGGACTTACAGCTTTTGTAATCCAAGATAGAAGCACTCGTGAATTTTGTCTTGAAGGAGGAGCCATGGTCTCGGCTGATGGAGGTGTTGTCTGCATTGATGAGTTTGACAAAATGAGACCGATGTTGCTCACAGGATTGAAGTTAGCAGTGAGAGCAGCCAGTAAGTTTCTCGAACTGGAACCGTATAATGCAACTCCAGATGTAATTCTTTCAAATATTTATGCAAATGGCGGTAGATGGATAGAGGCAGTAAGATTGAAACGACTCTGCATGGAAAAGATTCAGGAATTCACAGTGTAGCACCTGTTGTTGAATTACGTCCCTTTGTCAAAACAGACATTGTTAACTGCAGATTATGGTGTTGAAAATGTAGTTCCAGTTTCTAGCTCAGCTGACAAATGCTAGAAATAACCAAGTCATGGTTGAAGAAGACACTATCACTTCATCTGTTCAATATTGTTGTGATGTACATATACTCAGATGAAGGTGGCATTGCACTATTTGTCCTGATTTTGATTTGTGTGAGGCTTGCTTTGAAGTACTAGATACATACCGACTTCATCCACCACACTCTAGAGCTTCATCAGCAGCAAAGCAGTTATGTCAAGTTTGCATTGAATTATTTGGGTGTTCAGAAGCAGATTTATAATCAATAAAAACAAGTTGGTCTCATAGTAGCTGTAGCGAAGGATCCAAAAATCAGACTGATATTCTTAGAACATGAAATCCAAGAAAAAGTAGAAGTAAGCCATATTTAAGGTTTTACCTGACTGCTGTACATTTTTTTCCAGCCGAGCCACTTGCAACAGGGTGAAGGCAAATTCATCACTTATCCAAGCCATCGAAGGCCATGTGAAAATCATCCCAGCCGTGTAAGCCATAAAGCTAATCCACGTCACTTTTTTTGAATTTGAGCTGAAATCAAAAAGCAAGAATCCGTGTCATAATTCATGAGATGAAAATGGAAATGAGTAAAACGACATCAGAATTGCAAAACAACGGAAACTCACGCGTAAACACCCAAGAACCAAAACGCAGAAAAAAAACACGTAAACGGCAAATCATTTTTCAGAAGACTCGCCTCATTTTCACTATAAATATGAGTTTCTTCCCTTCAATTTCTTCAAGCTTTTCAAGCCAATTAATCCCTGCAGAATTTTCATCATAGCTCCTCAATTTTCCTTCAAATTTCACTTTCAAAAAAATCACCCTCAGCCATTCTTCAAGTTTCATCCAATTCAACTCTCTTTTCATTCACAACCTTTTCCACACAAAAACTCACCATACTTCAACTTCTTCAACACAACAATCAGAATTTCGCAGTTCAGAAGAAGAAGAGGAATAAGAATTGAAGTGTTACTCGTGATTTGAAGGTAGTTTGAGCTTCACCGATCCGTTACCTTTTGTTGTGATTCTTTGAACTGTTGGTACTGTTGTGAAGAACTTTTAATTTCGATCTGTTCGGTGTGATTTTCGCATCTCGTCGCTTTGATTTGAGCAAGCTTTGAGCTCGCAGAGATGGCGTGAACAGTGTCGCGTGAGAACTTGAAAAAAGACGATGAACTTGTTCTGATTCTCTTCTATTTTCTTTTTTTTTTATTTTAGTTTCTTTTTTGTTTCTTTTTCTTTAAAAATAGATCTTGGGCCGTGAGGCCTTTTTTACTTTTATCACCAGTTTTTTTTTACTATAAACCTCATCTTTTTTATAAAGAAACTTTTCATTCAATTTTCTTATTTTTTTTTTAATATTTGTTTTTCTTTTGAAATAATTTTTTTAAAATAAATTTTGTTTTGGATCTTGAATTTTGATAAGATCTCATCAATATCAATGGACTTTGAGTGTTGATTTTATCCACTAAAAGAGGTGATTGATATTGATGATGATTTAATCGATTTAAGATTCAAATTGAAATTTCTTTTCATTTTAATTTTCTTTCTTCTTCTTTTTATTTTTGATCGATGAAATCTATGGATCATAGATTGTTGATTATCAAGGTGGTTTAATCTTCATTATTTCAAATCTATGGACGAATAATCATTGAGATGATTCTCCGTACTTTGGAATAGTGATAGATTACTGTTGCGGTGGAAATAGGATCACAAACTATTAATGAGTTTGAATCGCAATTCAATTCACAACCGCTCTTTGATTTATCCTAAGGAAAAGGTCAAAAGAGGGAAAACCTATTTTGCATCGTAAACACAATGCGGGGAAAGATCTAGGGTTCGGGGGTTGGTTAAATTTAGGGAAGGTATTAGCACCCTAAACTTCTGTAGTACTCTACAGGAACCTTTTGTTCAAATGTTTACTATTTGCTTTATTTATTTGCTTAAGGTATATGTACAAAGGGATTAAAAGTGAGAAAAAAGACCTAAGGGGTTAATTCTAAGTTTACTCGGCAAGACATCGCATCTTGTGCCTACGTATCCTTACGGGAGTGGAATCAGAGTAATCGTAGTTCCCCTCAAAAGGGAGGTTAGAGACTTCTTGACTGTGGTCAAGGTTTCAATGGGGAATAAACGTATCTTAGGGACACGCTTACGCGGAGTGTAGAAACTCCAATATCTACGTTGTAAATTGTTAAGTGAATTAGGGTTAGGTTAGGTTAGGGATTCCGCGGCGGGAAACCCTAAAATGAGCGCGGCGGCTCTTTGACCTAATGCTAGGGGTAAAGTTGTAATTTTGCCTGCGGCGAGGCATTTGTGAAACGTAGGGTTTGTAAGGTTGTAAGGGTTTGAAGTTGAGGACTATTGACACGGCGGTCAAGCGGCTAGACCTAATTCCTTCGGAGGAGTGAGATTATTGGTAAAGACGCGATAAACATACAATGGCAGAACATAAAGTGCGGAAAGATAAATGCGACAATTGTCTCGCAAAATTACATCCCATAAGCAGTTACAAATATGATAATTGAATATTTAAACTGAAAATAAAATCAATTGAACTTAGTCAGCTGCAAAAAACCAAAACAAACTGAGACTGTTATTATACGGGGTTAGACAAAAAATTAGACGGGAATGTTAGGAATTTAAGTAGAAAATTATAATTTTAACGAAACAAGAAAAAAAGTTA